GACAAGCTTACAGGGATACAAAACCATTAGGACACGACGTATGAATGAGTATAGAACATATAAATGATATATGGACGGCGAATCAGATGCAGGTGTAATGGATGGTCGCAAAAGCATGCATGCAGATAAATGGACATATGAAAATTGTAGGAAGATGCTTTTTCTTCATGACACAAAATAATCGTCTAATCACGAAACAAATTACTAATATAGCATGGTAGGTATCAGGTCTATGGACTATTGTGAAGGTGATATGGGACGACGGTCGATTTATTTATACTATTTCTGGGCAAAGGAGTATTCGGACAAATTTAATCTTGTGCTTCGCACTAATTTATTATAATACAATGATATTTTTAGGACATTATTTGTTCTTAAATTTTTCTCAAAATGAAACAGCATCAATTAGCGGCTCACCAAAAATCTGCACTTAAGCGTCTGTCCAATAAGGATGCCCTATAGCCATCGTATAGTGACGAGGATCGAACCTATATATGTAACTGATTGAGACTCCAGTACAAATGTTAATAAGGTGTCTTTACACAGGTCAGGTTTTCTATTACATATTCGATATCATCGTAACTGCTATCATGAGGATTTTATTGCAACATCTACTGGTTTACAGGTAAGTAACCAAAAGGTAGGAATACTTTCAGACTTAATAATCAAACCCCGACAATTACCACAGAAGATGCGAATTTGTAGGTAAAGGTATATCAACGCGTCGGAAAACTGCTATTGGGAAAAATAAAAATTTATTAATTCATTTTTTATTGTGGGCTGAAATGCGAAATAGTATATGGTACTTTAAATAACGATTAATAGCATGGTTACTTGTTATGAATAGGGATAGTGAGAATGCTGTTGTTTTTAGGTCTGTTCTGTAGGCCTAGAGAACAAAAAATTAGTTTATACACATCGTCTAGTGAAACGTGCTAGGTAGATTGTTGTTGTTTCTCTAATGAAGAACTTCAAAGCGTCGCCAGAAATATACAGCGTAATCATCTGAACAGAATTGAAATTAAAAAAATCCAACATTACCTGTCACTTCAATCGATAGAATGTCATAGGCAACTTAAGGAGGGAAGAGTAATTTTATTGAAAACTCAAGTGTCGTTTTCAAGTTGGTTAATAAAATGCTGTCAGTAATATCGAAAAAAATTATATTTATTGCCCTTTCTGGTCTGGCTTTTACACATGTTAGCTCGTTAACACGTTGACTGCCGTGAGTATCCAAAGTGGGATCTCAGGAAATCGACAGATCTGGCCGCGAGACTACACTGTGGGGACTCAAGCAGAAAAATATTTAACAGCCGCGTGTACCCACAGCTGGACTTCAACCGCGTTAGTTTCATATGGGGACGCGAATATGTGGCTGTTATATGTAGAATTTGCATTTGGCCTGTGAACTTAGTGTGCTGTATGGGTACACGTGGCTGTTACCTATGTCATTGAAATTAAACAATATTTATTAGCTAATTATTATATTTATAATTATTGTAGTCCAAAAAAAACTGTAAAAAATATAAATACAAAAAAGTAATATTCAAACTTTATAAAAACATTAATAAACATTATTTATTTTGTACAGCGATGCACCTCAAAAAAACATGACAAACAGTAGTGTTTCATACATTGTGAACATTTCAATTTGGTTTTTTGCGTCTTAGCTTGTGCATGAATGCGCCCAAGTTGGCGTGCTAGTGTTTCATAGCATAAACTGCACCTTCCTCGGCCTGCCCTTCCAACATCCTCAAGAATATGTTGAATATATGGCATGTTTTCGATATTTTCGTTTGGTTTTGACAGGCTTCCCACATTCAGAAATTCTGTTGTTACAACCTCTTTGAATTTTGTAACGCTCATTTTTTGATTTGTTACTTGTTGGTGTAAAATGTATGCATTTACCAAGGCAGTACCCGTCAACAGTTCAATGGCCAGCTTCCTGTACCATTTTATGCCTCTCCTCAGACATGTATTATAAGCTTTCATTTGGTCTGATAAATCAATAAATGCTTTATGCTTGTTATAATCGATCACTGATGCAGGCTTTTCCGTTTCCTTGTCACCACTTTTGACTTTTATCATTTCAGAGGTATGTTTAGTACTGAGAGTGAGGACATCTCTCTTATCCATCCACTTTTGAACAACTACGCCTGAAGTGGATTCGGCAGCAATAGTCTCTCCTTTTTTCAGTTTTTTTTCTGTAACTTCTTTAGGATTAAGTTTTCGATTTGCCCTCAAAGTGCCAACTAAATGTGTTTTCTTCTCAAGCAGTTCATGAGCCAACGATACACTTGTGTAGTAGTTATCGGTATAAATCGTACGACCTTCGTACAAGAGATTCTTAGCGAGTGTAAGTACAACATTCTGTGACGATGCTTGCCCTTCGGTTTTATCTTGGCCGACATATACTTGGATATTGTATGTGTATCCTTTTTCCAAGCAAAGCTTGTACAGTTTTATACCAAACTTATGACGCTTGTTTTTTATGTACTGCCTAAATCGTAGACGACCTCTAAATGGTACCAGTGTTTCATCAATACAAAGCGATTCTTTTGGAACGATCGGGGCTTGGAAACTTTCAAGTAGCTTTTCTATCAGGGGAACTATCTTTTGAAGCCTGTTTTCTGAAATTACCTCATTATCGTGGAAATGCCAGACTCTTAGCAACAACTGGAACCGGTTTCTTGACATTACATTTTTTATTTTATTATCAAACATCACCTCTTTCGACCAATATGACTCAATGGATGGAAATTGGCACAATCCCATCCAAAATATTATACCAATAAATCTTTTCATTTCTGCTTTTTCTACATCGCGCCACTGATGGATCCTAGCCTTAGGAGCTGATTCTCGTGCCTTGCATTGAGCAGCATACCTATTGGTTTCTATGACCATCATATCCAAAATGTCATCGTTCAGAAATAACTCGTAGAAGTTTATTGGATTTTTATTGGAATATGATTCGTATATTTGTGGTATGATTCCCGGATCAGATATTGTAAAATGAAAATCTTTCAAATGTGAGCCAGATACCTGGTACCAAGCAAGATCTGTGGAATCTGCAGCATAACTACGAATAACTTCTTCAATTGTTTCCATTTCGAGATCAATGGCTGAAGTACTGGCGACTTCCGCATTACTATCAGATGTTGGTGTTTGGGATTCATTGAAAAGTAAACGACGGCGTTTTCGATCACTACAGTCATCATCAGAGTCCTCACTTGATGACTCGTCATGACTTGGTACATACTCATCCGACAAATCAGGAAATGGATCTTCCTCCTCATCGGACAACAGCTCCTGAAAAAGTTAGATATTTTGGTATAACCGTGTCCAAAAGTCTCAAGTGACACCTACCTGCCATATCTTCATGAGCCTTTCTTGTTCTTTTTCATAACTCATCGTAGACTTTTTATTCGCACGCTCCGCTTGTTACTGACTCTAACAATATACTAACAAGCGGCACGTGGTTATACGATATCTCGCAATAGCCGCTGGCGCTTGCGCTCTATCACCGTGACGTAAGTCCGCTGAGATCCCACTTAGGAGCCACGTGGCTCCTGGGTGTAAAATCATACTTAAGGGCCGCGTGCACCCACCGTGGATCCTCATCAATATCTACATGTTCTAGGTCAAAATTATCAACATCATTAAGTAAGAACTACTAAACTATAGCTTATTAGTCATTTAAGCTGAAAAAAGTATTGCGGCCAGAGAAGACACAATTTTTTTAACATTGCGGCAGTCAACGTGTTAAGGAACATGAAAAAAATTGTCTCTATTGGTCTATCCAAATTGAAAATGCTTATACATGTTTGAATTAAAAAAAAGAAAATCGATTGTCACTATGGTTTTCAATAAAAAATAGTATGATAGTAACATATGATTGATATTTAGCCGTCGTCGTCCGAAATGCAACAGCTACGCACCAGATTGAGTATCATTTTTACAAGCGAATCATACCGCAAGGCGATGTTGTCACATTTTAGGACGCAGAATCATTAGCATCATGTGTCCATGGAATATACATCCTGCATATTTGAGTAGCGATAATTACGCCACTGCGGCCAATCTTAGAACTACCGCCAGATAACAAGTGTACATTTTACCATCTTTTTACGTCCATATTAATGTGTGCTATGTTTTATAGCACAACTTCTAGAAAACGACGACCCTAAAAAATGAAAGTCCCTATGAAACTGACGCGATTATTCTACGCGGGAAGTTTGATATCGCATGTAGGACAGAATTATGGTACCAAATTCTTTCTGCGTCCGTATATGGACGTACAAAGGTAGTGGACGCAGAATAATATGAAAATGGAGAAATGTACGGATGCAGAAGAGTGTACAGGATGTATATATATATCGATGGTGATCTGATAGAACGACGTAAGCGCCATTCACAAAATTTTACAGGAGAGGTAGAAAACCGTTTATTTTGGACTCAAAGCATTTAAATACCCTGCTAAAGATTATTATTATGTTTATAATAGCGATAGAAATGATCTAATATATCAAATAGTATTGGAGATCTCTCCAAAATTCAAAAAACGCATATTTTTTGTCGCTTACGACCTTTTACTGGCATCGTTTGGTACTTACGTCCAATGATACGGTGCTTAAGTCTCTTGCATTATATGAATTCTTGGTCATACCGGTGATTACGCGGTACATACGCATCTTATTGCAGTTTGTCGACAGACATTGATGTCGGATACGCATTAATAAAACTTGTGACTATAGCGTGGAAACTTGTTTGTAGCAGGTAGAGTTGGATGGGTAGAAAAGAATTTGGTGATCCTTTTTAAAGAAAATTTTTATTTTGTAATAACAAAAAAACAAAAAATTATTGTTTACCACCTTGGTGTAAAATATAACTAAAACATCAACTTTGATAAATAAAAAACTCTCCTCAAAACAAAAATAACTACACCTGTCATAACAAAAAGTCTAAAATGAAAAAACATGTTTTCTTAATACTTTTGTATTTCAGTCTTCAGTTTCATCATTACATTCTTCGATATCAGTTTCAGGCAGCGTGTCTGCCACACTATTATGCCCTTTCAAAGAGTAATACTCAGAATGATATTGTACATCAATTGTGAAAGCTTTACAAAGTTCAATTAGGTTATCATATTTCTTTTTGTTTATCGGTAGTTCGGAATGATAAGATTTAGGAAGATTTTTCACAGTCTTTGTCGGGAACAGTAGGTCAACGTGTGCTTGGTTCTCATACGTTGTTTTTATTTTTACATAGGTATTGTCTTTATCAAATATCATCTCGGCAACGTCAGAAATTGTTATGTCGTTCCCTTGTGCATCTTTCAGTCTTTTTTGTGAAGTAATGCGTTTCCAGTCTATTATAGAAGAATAATTGGTAACCTTCACGTTGTATGGTTTCGGTTTAGTTCTGGCATTGCGGAGTATCGTTGGCCATTCTGATGGAGCCTGTATAAACAAATTTTTCGATTTTCTTTCGATAGTAGCATGCATACTATCTACTGGCATGTACGTGTGACCTGAGACTAAGTATGTTATTGTCAGTTTCCTTATAGATTTTGAGATACTTATGAAGTACGCCAACATACAAATCATATACCTGTTTTTATTTTATCCGGGACAGTTGTCACAAAATAAGTGCACGCTTGTTTTTTCTTCTTTCTGATCCAAATGTAACAGGTAGTCAAAAAGATGAGAACATATTTCATTCGCACCCCTTCTTCCATCTTTCTCGCCCCAAAAGTAACAAAACGCATTAGCAGTGACACTTTCATAAATTGTGAAGTTATAGCAAGCATATTTCCTCGAAAATCCTATCAACATACTTTTGCCATGAGGAGTAGTCAGTACTTTTTGTAGATCAAAGCTAGCAATCAAATTAGCCGAATCATGGTTGTCTTTCTGTTTTTCTAGAAAATATTTTTTCGCAATTTCTTTTTTTTCAATATGTCTTAGAAAGTCGAGTTCTTCTTTGCCATTCTTTAAGTTACTTGGTAAATGTCTGTAACGCTCGCATTTAATGCATTTATCTTTTTTTGGCACATGTATTCCTATGTTGTATTCTTTCTTTATGATTCTTTTAAAACTAGAAATGCTCATTTTATCAGTATTTTGATGAGAGTACATTTCATACAAGTTAGTAAACGTCTTTATATCAGAAGGTAGATAAAGCTTTTTAGTTGAGCCCCTACAATAATGTGACGGTACAGCTGGTAGTCCTTTGATAAACTGTTCAAGAAATATTTTTTGAGATGCTGTAATACTATGTCTAGGATTATGCTTGCCTCTACCATCGGTTATAGCTTGTATTTTCCCTAATATTGCATTCCTGATAATTCTTTGCGTGATTCCAAGCGTAGCTATAAAAAATTGTTGACATACCTTAACTTGAGTATTCCCCTTCATGAGGTACTGTTCATATGTAAACGTTCTTCTTGATGTAATCTCCAAAGTTCGTTTTCGTTTAACATAATCTATCTTGACGCATCCATTTATATAAGCTTTTTGAAGATTTCCATCACCCATTGCCCAGAAAGCATCAAATAATGCATGCCTTTCATCAAGACTGAAATCATTACAACTATTTTTGCATTTTTTACCGAAACATGGATTTGGTAGTAGTACTTTGGGGGGTTTGGTAATTCCTTTGTAGGTTTTGTACTGTAAGCCATGAGCCTTCTTTTTTTTATTTTTCAGCTTACGACTTGGTCTTTTCTTCCTTTTCCATGTCTCAGATGATGTACTGCTAGATGAAGATGATGCTGATGATTCACGGTGATCTTGGTTTGGAGATTCATCGATTGCTGATTCACATCCAGATTCTGATGAGCTGCTACTATATGGTACAAGTTTTTTTGTGGTAATGCGCTCATTATTCTGTGTCAGATCTTCTGGTACCTCTAGTTGCTCACATTCCAGAAAAGCAGGGTCAGGAATTTCTTCAAGATAGATAGCGCCTTCGGTCATGATTTCATGTTCGGTGGTCGTATATTCGATGGATGTATTTTCAGTTATGTTTCCTGAGCTGCTTTGAAATATGATGTCGAAGTTTAATGCCTCGTTGATCATATTGTCTTCCAGGTAACTTTGATCAGTTTCATCTTCCAGCGCCATGCTCACAATTCGTTTTCCGCGGCTAGACATTCTGAAAAAAACACTTGCGTAAGCGCCACATGTGAATGAAATTTTAAAATTGATTTGCAAATTAAATAAACCGTTTTTATAAAATCCAGCAATCACTTTATTTCATGCTATTTGATTCAATATAACTAAATACCTTCATCAGTATCAAGCAAAGTGAAAATAAAGGTTACATAGCGTTATGACGCTTACGCGTTTGTACTTGAACAGACTGAATGCGTAAGCGCCACATCTTTGTGATCATTATTTACAGTTACAGAATCATACTAAATGCTTTAGGATGTTGCAACAACCACTAGATACCCTATATAAACCAAAATATTCCGATAAACCTTATATAACTTACCTGTATCAGGGCTGGAGGTTGAGAGCACGTGCTGCATAAGCGCCAACTTGACTGAGTATTTTGAGGTTATGGCTGGTGCATTGTCGCTTACACATACTTAATTGCGAATATCTTGGTAACGGCTGATCTGTCGTTTACGAGACCACCGGCAATCGACGCGGCGTTTTTTCTTCTATGAGTAAACATGAAAATCCCAATTTCCGAATTTTGGCGCATACGTCGTTTTGTCAGATCGTCATCGATATATATATATATATATATATATATATATATATATATATATTCCACCAAAATACATATATATTCCATAAATTTGTATCCAAACAGTCCTGGACATCTGTTTGGATAAAAATATATGGAATGCATACATCTATTTTGATGGAAAAATGATTTGATATTTATCGTAAAAAACGTGTATTAAAAACCAGTGAAAGTGCATATCTCTTTACTAATTTTCAAAATAAACTAAAAAAAATTGCAAAAATAACAATACAAACTGAAATAAAAAATACAAAAAGTATTTTACTAAGGTATCAAACACAAAGAACATATAAACAAAACAAAAAACAAACAAAAGATAAATAATTCCACTAACCATATAATACTGCAAATGGTTAAAAAATCGAGATCAAATATCACAAGAAAAATACAACAAAAAAGCATTATGTATTACAATAACAATCACATATTCGTGTGGAGGAATATGAGCTGTGACACTTTACCGGGTTTTTAAGAGGGTACGACGTTCATTCAAAATTTGCCCGGTGCCACAAAAGATCCTTTCACATGGTACCGAGGTCGCGACAATGCAAAACCTTTTCATGACATAGGCGTATAAATGTGGATAAATATTTTTTCGTTGATCTCACCATTCTAGTGGATCACTTTTTCTTTCTAAATAGTCCTCGTTCAAATACCTATCTAGCTCCTTGATCCCAGATACTTTTTTATTTTCAGGCCTGCTTATTTTTAAACTTTCCTCGTCATACTCCTCCCGTATATATGCTTTTTGTTGATGTTGGTGGTGCCGAAGGCCGTTTCCGTCAAATGAATCATTTGCTTCATTTGTATGAGGTATTTGACCAGAACCAACTTTATTCCTCAGTCCTTGTACTGCTTTTTCAAAACAGTCTGCATTTTTGAAACCACGTTTTTTGAATCTTGGATCCAAAACAGTGCATTTTGCAAACAAGATGTTGTTCTCTATATTTTGAAATCTGGCATTCATTTCTTTCTTCAAAACCTCTAGAACTGCTTGCACTTTAGAGTGGTTTGCAGAACTTTTTGCAAGTATTCTCTCTATCATTTTACACATAACAATAACTTTTGATAGAGTGACGTTTTTCTCTGCACTAATTTCTGTTGTCACCTCATAGAATGGGAGAAGCAGAGGTAGAACTTCCTCTATAATAGACCAGTCCTCTTGTAGCGAAAGGTCATTTCGCGTTAGTGCTATTGTTGTAATTACAGCATCTTTTATTGTAACCACCCTATCTAACATCTCATATGTCCAGTTCCATCGAGTTGGGACATTCTGTTTTAATTTTAATAGTGGCAGATTCATTTGCCGTTGGGACTCTTGCAATTTATGCAGACCTTGGGAGCTCCTTTTAAAATACTCGACAATAGACTTAACCTTCACTAACGTATCTGATATTTGTTCTGTAGCTCTTTGTACAACTAAATTTATAAGGTGTGCAAAGCAGCCTATCGATCGCCAATTACCCATTCTTACAGCCGAAATAATATTTGGTGCATTGTCGCTCACTACAGCAGCAATTTTATGAGAAATCTGCCAATGGTTCATAGTTTCTTCGAGAAATGTACATAGATTTTCACTAGTATGCCTTTCAGTATATTGAATACAACCTAATGTCGAAGAACACAGTTTAGAGTTATCATCAATATAGTGGGCCGTTACAGCAATATAACTCATTATTTCTGGATGTCCATGCATCAGTAGTGACGCACACAGCTTGTGCTTTCTTCAATTTGATTTTTATCTTTTCTGTATATTCATTATATATTTTGCTGAGCAATGACTCAGAAAGTTTTTTCCTAGACGGTAACTCGTAATTTGGGCAGTGAGATACCATTATAATTAATTCTCTAAATTGTGGCTCCTCTACCATACGTAGTGCATGGTGTCCTTTATCGATCATTTTGATTACTTGCTTATCAGTTTCTTCTATTTTACGACTAGATGGCGGTCTCTGAACAAAGTGAGTAATTTCTGTTTGAGCTCTGCTTGGTTTCAGTACTGTAGCCCTTTCGCTTGTTTTTGAGTCTTCGCATGTATTCGTCACATTTGATGCACAGTAGGCTTGTTGACGCTGAGGTTCAGGTTCCGTTAACAACAGTAAGGGATGTTTGCTTTTCATGTGGCGATTCAGGTTTCCATTTGAACCATTAGCAATACTAATGGATTGAGAACAATAATTGCACTTTGCTCTTTTGTCGCCCTCATCTTTGAAATGGCCCCAAAGAGCACTATGGTTTCTTTTTGAAGACATTTTTATTCCAGAAATATTATTTGAATTTGAAAATAATACTCCTGAAACAAAAATAACATAGAAGTAAAAAACGCAAAGAACATCCATTGCTGTCAGCAAGTAAATATGAAAACGTCAACAAAAAATTAATGAATAGTGCTTATTAGAAGATAAACGGATTTTATTTAATAGGCTTTTCTAACTAAGTTTATTTATTTACTCCTCACACCATATATTATGTGTTTCAAGCCAGGTTATTATTCTTACCTTCGTTCTCTAATATCGGGATACAATTATTAAAATCACTAAATTGCACGTTTGCTCTGGAATTCTTTACGATTTAATCACATGTAAAAAGTTTTGGCGCGTGGTCGATGACTGTTGCAAATCTGATTATGGTTTTACAGCTTTTCGCGCCACTATTTGTGGAATGCGGGCTGATGCGTGCGCCACCTTTGGGCCAAAAGGATAAGAGATGAAAAACATATAACAGCAAACCTACTTTATCGACGGCAAAGTAGAAATCTCAATAAACAGGTGGCACATTGTGGCTATTGCGACGAAAACGTGGGCCAATGATAAAACCATACTATTGAACCATACCGTAAAAATAATATTTGTTTTTATGCTGTGACTGAATGCCCTATTTCCGAAAATAAGAGCTCAAACCTAAATTAAAATTAAAAGTTTTGTTCGTCATGTCTGAAAAATTAGTTTGAATGCTTGCTCAACATATTTAAGAAATAACTGGGTAATAATGTCAATAAATTAAAAGCTCTATGCATGTCATAAGACGGACGCATAGCATAGCATTCAAACATTTCATTTTAGTTGTTCGGAAGGCTAGATAGATACAAATATTAGATACCTATTTAAATAACATGTCTGTTTATAAAGGAACATTCGGAAATCGCTAGGCCTGACAATAAAGCATTTTCAAAAAAATTGCTCGGCCCGTCAGTCGTGTTCGTTCGGGTGCATCTTTGGCTGCGTACACATCTGAATGGGACACGCGAGCGAGACACATGAGCTTTCATTCGGATTGCTCCATGAATGCTCGTAGTGCGCGTTTCAATATGGCGGATGAAAGTCTGGCAGTGGCTAGTGCTAGTTTTATTGTGATATGCAGGTTATTAAAGCAGAAACGAAGGAGACAGAGACGTCGATGGACATCACAATTATATATGAAAAGAGAAATTGGTATTAACAGTACCTTGTTATTAAATGATTTGTCCGAAGAAGGGACGGGTCACTTCAAGAATTTTACCCGAATGTCCCAAGATGATTTTAATTTTCTTCTAAATGCAATCAAAACGAAAATAATGAGACATGACACAGTATTTAGAAAAGCAGTCAGCGTTGAAGAAAGGTTGGCAGTCACTTTACGTTTTTTAGCTACAGGGGACTCGTATACTAGTTTACAGTACCTATTTCGGATATCAAAGCAGCTAATATCACAAATAATACCGGAGGTGTGTCAAGCTCTTATTGAATGTTTAATAGATCACGTTAAGGTAAGTAAAACGACACTTAAATGTAGAAAATCATTTTATTGCCTAGTTTAATAACATATAATACATGCTACTATGGGGTAGAATTATTATCCCCAGTATCATCTGAGAAACTTGCAAAATAATTATGCAAAGCTGAATTAGTACCGCTGTGTGAGCAAGATGAAGTAGGAGTTGATGAACGGGAAATTGAAGTTTGAGCAGGAGTAGGTGGTGTTTGAGGCATTGGTGGCAATAATTCACAATTGAACCCTTCCCTCGAATAAGGGTCTATGTTACATTCGGCTATATTGAGAAAATTAACAAAAACGATTTGCTATGGGGTTTTTAATAATAAACATAACAGAAATGGTGATAACAAACTAATATAATAATTCTAAGACATTAGCCATTAAAGAGTGTAGCTAAAGATAACTAATACTACATATTTTATATAATATATTCTGAGTCCCTGGAATAAGGGTTTATGTAAAATGTAACATAAACCCTTATTACCGAGTACCCATTTAATGTTAATACAGTTAAGTTTTAACGTAATATACATAAAAATATGGGCTCAATTCTTCTTTCCTTTACAAGTAAGACTCTCGTAAAAGTTAATGTACTTCAAAGGAATATAGTCGGACATGTCCATCAAATTTTGCTTTTTCTCAAAGGTTATTTTCGGTGGTTCATTATAAAGTAGAGGAAGATTTGAGCGTCCAGGAGCTTGCATCTTTTTTTTTGTAAATATGTTGAATGAAGTCCAAGGAGCAAACGTATTATGGCTTGGACGCACGTTTACATTAGAAGGATCATCTGCACTATATCTAAACCACATATATTGAGTAATCTTTAAATTAGGATTTTTCTTAACATTTTTTTCGATTGGCGCGAAATCTTTAAAATCATTTTGCTGGAGCAGTTTGACTTCAAAAGCATTTTTATGACTGGCACTTTCTATAACTTCTTTCCACATATCAGGAACATAGACTTTACATACCTTCTTTCTTTGTTCAATAAGTGCGAAATTTCTGTCACACGTAAAAAACTGTGTCCTGAGCAAAGAAATTTCTGTTCAACAATGGTAAAATAATGGCACTGTACTAAATAGTGACACAAGTTTACCACTTTCCAGTTGTTATTCTGGCCGACACATCTATCAGACCATATTATCAGATGGCGTTCTTCTCCCGGTTTCAAAATATCAAAGTGATCTTCTATATAAGCTAATAATGCCGATACTATTTCAGCAGAACCTCGTCCAGCGATAGATTCGTGCCATAAATTCATTCTGGCATTATTTAATCCGCCATTGTGAATACAGAAGTTATAGCAGGAATACTGCCGCTGATAAAATACTGAAGAGTGTGTCAGGGTAGGGCAGAATAAAACCTGCTGCATATCAATGCATGAAACATGCTTAGTGGTGGACACTTTACTTGATTCGATGTCTTCCTTTAGGAAACGATACCCAGCTTCTGCCTTCCTATGGTGCAGCTCACTATCCTGTTGTATTTTAATCCGAGATTCTTCAGTTTCTGCACGTTGTAACTGCATATATAACTTGTCGCAATATCTACATGTGCCACTCCTCGGAACGCCAAATTTGAAGTTATATTCGGAAAAAACATCACGGTAAGTGCGAAATTTAACATGGAGGTTTGGAAAATGTTCTTCAAAAAGTGAAATCATTTTTTTCAATGTTAGCTCCGGATGTAAATACAGTGAGCTTGATTTCTGCCTCGAATAGTGAGATTCATGTTCGGGAAAGCTATTTATATGCATGCGGATAGCATCTTTAATATCTTGCTTTATACGATTTGGTCGATTGTCATGTTTACCTCGTAGATCAGTGGGAATGGTAACACCATCTTTCATTTTGGACAGTAGTATTTGAATTCTCTTGGTATTTATTTGAAAAATATCACAAAAGTTCCTTTTACACATAAGCATTGATACATACTTGCCACTCCGTTTTAGCATTACTGAGTATGTAAACGCAGCTAACTTCTTAGAAGTTGCATCGGTTTTTCCAGCTCGACGTCTCTTCGGGGCACCCATAGCAATACACTTTACTAAATAGGAACTTTGGTCATTATAATCCATACCATAGAAAGAATTAAATAGCATTTCCTTATCGTCAATAGTTATACTGGTACAGCCACCCTTTTTGCATGTCTCAGGCTTGCAGATTCTAGCCTGAAAAGAAAGAACGATTTAAAAAGTTTAACAATAACAATAGAAATTAAAATTCTATGTGATTTGTTAACCAGATGATACCAAATAAAAGCTGTAGAACTCACACTTAATTTATAGGTTAGATTATAAATAACATATACCCTTTTTCTACTTACCTCTCGAGATGTAGCTTTCCTGGGTTTAATTCGTCCTTGCCGGTCTATATATTCACTTCCACTATTCCTTAATTTCTTGTTTTTATTACATTTCCACTCATTCACATTTATTTTTCTTTTTCTGCTTTTATTTAACGTTTTGCAGAAAGACGACGTGATATGTACAGTCGACATTATTATGATTAGTAAAACAATTTGGTTGCACGTGGCCACATAAACCGTTATTCCACGCTAAAGAAAGTAGTATTTATTATTTTATAGATAGCAGCATATGTATTTTTGTTTTATTACTTTAAACGATGCGTATGTTTACATAGACCGTTTTTGCATGAAAATCTCAACATGCAAAAAATGTAACATAAACCGTTATTCGAGGGAAGGCTTCATTGTTAAAGGAAGATTGTGGGAAGCGTGTGGATACTTGCTGATAATCGTATTGGTTTGTACTCATGGTCTGAGGATACCCTGGTGCAAATTCTCGCAAAGGCTGAGGAGCAGCTGAACTATTGTAGTGACTCATTTCTAAATCGAATAAAATATTGTTGATTCTGTGCTGGGCCAAAGATTTGAGACGATCATCAAATTTTCGAATTTTATTGGCAACGTGTTCTCCGTAGACGCTGCAATCGTCTCTTTTGTTACTTGCAGAACCTGAAGCCACGTTTTGCAGATATCCAAAAGCCTGCATTATTCTTGGATCTTCTTCTTCCTTACGCCTTTTGACTGCACGTTTTTTCGGTGACTTAAAAGTCTTTGTTTTTATTTCACTTGGGGCTGCTCCTTCTGAAGTTTCCAGAGCTGGTTCGTCATTTTGAGAAGCTTCTATTTCTGTATTGTTCCTTGGTTCATCAGTGAAATCTTCTATTTCCGAGGAAGTGTTTATCCCATCTTCAGGAGAATTGGGCTGTAGATTCTGCAAATAAAAAGAAATATATTGACAAGTAACCTGCAACAAAAGCAGACCAAATCAGAATTATGTGGGGATGACAGAACACGAGATTTTACCCCAGTAATAGTAGCACATAGTAGCAAGTTTCTTTTTATGAATGTTTGTTTTTTGTTTTGTCCTCTTTCTTCGGGCGAAATGCAACTTATCGATTTTCATGTTTTCTATACAAGTTCGCCCGGAAGACGAATGGAAAAACGTCGCCCAGAAATTCGAAGACATTTGGAATTTCCCACATTGCGTGGGTGCTATAGACGGCAAGCACGTAGTTTTACAAGCTCCAATTAAAAGCGGAAGTGACTCTCACAACTATAAATCATTCTTTAGTATTGTTCTGATGGCCTTGGTTGATGCCGACTACAATTTCATGTTCGCGGACATAGGATGCCAAGGGCGCATATCGGACGGTGGTGTATTTCAGAACTGTCAGCTGTATAAAAAAATTGCGAATAATGCTTTAAATCTGCCTACATCTTCGCCTCTAATTGGAAGAACTGTCGCAATTCCCTTTATATTCTTGGGCGACGCAGCATTCCCACTAAGTCAACACATAATGAAACCCTACGCTGGCCAACATCCAAAAGAGTCTCCTGAGCGAATATTTAATTATCGGCTCAGCCGGGCACGTCGTGTTGTTGAGAATGCGTTTGGCATTGCTTCTAGTGTTTTTCGCGTCTTGCGAAAACCGATGCTTTTAGAACCCGAAAAGGCACAACTCATAGTAATGACAGTAGTTTGCCTCCACAACTTTTTGCGCAGAAGCCAAACTTCAAGAAATATATATACGCCACCTGGTTGTTTGGATAGTGAAGTCGATGGAAACAGAATACTCGGCACTTGGCGAACTGATAATCAGGAAATATCATCATCACTTTTACCAGTAAGGAACATACCACGACGAAGCAAACCAGTGCCTACCAACATAAGATTGGAATTTACTGAATATTTTTGTAGCAATGGCGCCGTTCCCTGGCAAAGCAAATGTGCCTAAATAAATAATATTTATCTGCTTTCTCTTTATCAATAAATTATTACCTAACAATTAATTTCATTTGTTTTTAATTAATCGTAATTATTATTAGTGATAAATAAATCATTTCAGAAGGAGGTCAAACTAAAATATGAAGTTTGTTGGGGTAACGTAGGGGGTAGATTATTACTTAATTGGTTTGTTTTCGCATGATCAGCTTAAAACCGTTTGAAACTACATAGACATAGACTGCAGCAAAGAAATGTAGCCTAAATGATCAGGATAATAATAATGATTTATATGACATCTAGTAAATAATGATCACACGGTCTTGAGTAATGATACCACACTCTGTAAAATGTTAATGTTAAAAATTACCGAGATAATCGTACAAAAATAATAGTAATATTAATAATACCTAGGTGAGGACTTACATTTATGCTTCTCCGGGGCTCATCTTTGTCATCCAGAAATCTGAGGTAGTCGAAAGCAAACCATTGTGACGTATACGTTTCGTCCTTTCCTAAAAATACAAGTTTACGATTTACAGACGGCGCCAAACAATTTGCAAGTTAAAAATTAGTCAATCATATGTTTCCTACCTTTCCCTGTTCCGGTACTCTTCTTTACTTTAGCCCTTTCTCTTCTATAAGATCCCTTCAAGCTCTCAACTTTTTTCTGTATATTTTTTACATCTCTACCACATATTTCTGCGATCTCCCGCCAAGCATCATCTTTCTTTACTTTGTTAAAATAACTAGGATGTCGAGGATTCCATAATATCGGCCTCTGATGGTATAAATCTGTTATTTCCAAACACTGTTGTCGCGTGAAATCCATGATTGTATGTCCTTTCCGTTAACAAAATCCCTGTCGACGTCCACACTGATCACGTATGAGCGTGTTCGCCGCAAGCGCTCGCTTTGATCTACCGACAAAATTTGGATCGGGTCGAGCGTGCTCGGCGCACGTTGCTCAGTCGTCCACATTTGAATAGGCCTGTAAAAGTAACGATTTGTTCGCTACCCGTATGTACTCGTTACTTTTAGATTGACTACTCGTTACAAATATTCGTTACTCGTTACTTTCGTTACTTGGTTGCTAGAATAATATAGAACCAATTTAAATACCGGTTGTATATGTGTGCGTGGTAATCGTCAGCACATTCATACCATAACTAAATTACAATGAATGTTGATGTAGTTGTAAATAAGTTGGGAAAGGAAAAGAAATGTAACTGCAATATGAATAAAGAATTTTTTTTTTAAATTTATGATTTATAACATAACATAGATCATTTAAAATAACATACAAATAAAAACGCATTCTTGAACAAAAAACAAAAATAAAAAATATAAAAAGAAATCCAAAAAATATTAAACAAAACTACCTATCTTGGTTATCACAAAATGAACTAGAAACTTTTATACCAATAGTCTTTGGTTCATATGTAAAAAGAGAATTTTTTCAAGGCGTTTCGGTTTCAACGAGGCACGTTTTTCTGATAATATTTGCCCCGACTTGGAAAAAATTCTTTCCGATGGCACCGATGTAGCCATCACACATAAGTATTTTTGTGCTAAATTAGACAATTCTGGATATAAAAGTGTTCGCGCGTGCCACCATTTAAGTGGATTTTCTTTTCTAAATAAAAGCTTCTCTTCCATATACTGCCTAAAGGTAATTATACTGGCAGATGTCTTTGATGCTGTAGTACTCATGGTTGTTGTTCTTCTATCAAACTCTAGCCAAATAGAGTCTTGTTGCTCGTCAAACATAGGAGAATCTGTATCTTCGCTTTCGGATTCATTCACAAACGATGGTTTTGCCATCATCCTTTCCAATTCTTCTCTCACAGAATTTTTTGCATACTCATAGCATGAATCGTCAGCAAAACCTAGGGTCCAAAATCGCAGATTTTGATAGAACTTGGTGTCGCGAGCTATTTTTGAACCTGATATTAAATTCGGCTTTCAGTTTAGAGACTAATTGTTTGGACAAATCACATGTCAGGGTGTTATTCAAGTTATTGAGTATTCGTAAGACGCTGGAATTTCCTGCCAAAATTTTTGAAATAGTCACTTCGTTTTCAGACGAAAATTCCTCAGTAAGTTGTTTGAATGGTTTTAATATTTTTACAACTTCTGGAAGAATCCGCCATTCGTTTTCTGATAGGTTTTCAACTGGATTATGCAACAAACCTATTGCAGCTTCTATAGGCTCTTGTAGATTTGCAACTCTTTCTAACATATCTAACGTGCTATTCCAACGAGTTATAACGTCCATTATAAGTTTCAGGGGTTTTTGTCCAGGTTTTAATTGTTCTTGCACTGCATATAGCTTTTTTGTGGCAATAGAGCTCCTATGAAAATATTCAACAATGCATTTTACTTTTTTGATAGGTTCTTGTATTGTCTGAAGGCTTGCCTGAACTATTAGGTTGTAAGTGTGGGCAACACATGGAAAATGTTCCCACCCTGTCAGCCGAATAGCAGCCTTCATATTTGATGCATTGTCTGTTACGCAAACAAATATTTTGTCATTGATCTCCCAATCAGTCACAAGATGTATCAACTCCTGTTTTATATAATCGGCCGTATGTCGCTCTTGACATTCGAAACAACCCAAGAGGGCGGAACGCATTTCCCAAATATCTCCTAAAATGTAATGTGCTGTTACTGCCTGATAAGAAGTTGTAGCACGAGACGTCCATCCGTCTGTCGTTAAACATATATGTGATGCACGTTTCAACTCGTCTTTTAATTTTTCTTTCACCAACGTGAATTGCGCATCCAGCAAACCACTACTAAGCATATATCGCGAAGGAATTGGATAATTTGGTTCAAGATAATTGATTAACTCAATAAAACCTGAATCTTCCACTATAGAGAAAGGTTGCAGATCCTTAATTATTAATTTCAAAATCAAATGATTAATTTTTTTCTCTCGTGCTGCACTTAGAGGTTTTCTAGTAAATAATGCGATGTCGGTTTGCTGAGCTTCTTTCTTTCTTTTAGGTTCGTTTGAAGAAGCTTGAAATTGCGAACATTCTGGTAAATTAACAGGTTGTTGACTAGGCTGGTTAGATATACATGTTGAAGGTTTTAACGAGAATACGCTATCATAGGACGGTCGATGTTTTGTCATTAAATGTTTTTTTTAAGTTTGTTGTTGAACCCCCTTTGATCGAATACGAACATTGGCATATATCACACTTCGCCTTATTTTCTGTTTCTTTGCTAAAAAACTGCCAAATCTTACTTCTTTTCCCCTCCATGAAGTCGAGACTTTTAACAGCAAGTACTGAAACAACATAAAAAATACGTATCAAACTAGGAACATCGTCCGTCAGTTTACTACATAATTATGTACATTTATCTAAGTATTCAATTCTCCCCGATTTTAAAAGATTTGTTATATATATTCGTTGCTTACACGGTTACGGTCATTCCACAATAATACAAAAAATCACTATAATTTATATTAGGTTTTTAAGTGGGTACTCATATTTTATTTTATAGATTTCATTTACGCTCCTAATTCCTCCCTCAAATCCTATTAAAATAAATATCACATATTTAAAACTTACCTATTTAAAATTTAAAGGAATTCACCATCAAACAACTCTATCAAGTGGCAACAAACAGAGCAACAACAGCATAAACAAACACAAGTCGGTTCGAGCAGATCACATCACATACGAAACATACGAAAGTAACGACATACGACATCCGAACCGTCATGCGTCACCCATATTCCCATATAATACAGGATACGTACGTCTAGCAGCCCGCCAGACCGCATAGCAAACCTTCGGTCACTTTGGTGATGTATTGGTTGCGTATAACATCGATGCTTGCTGATAGCGATAACCGCGTAATTCAAATCGTTACTGAAGTACTGTATGCTGTGCATTATTTTAAATCTTATTATATTCCTGCAATCACTTAGCTTTTATTTGATATTTTTATGTGAGTTGATTCACTTTAACAAGTTTAATATCTTCATAAACATATTTTTTCGAATAAGTCTTTTGGTACTGTTTCAAACATGCGAGTAACGATATGTTTATGAAAGTAACGATTCGGTACTTCGAATCTTTCCTACTATTCGTTACTCAGTAACGAATACATACGGTTCGTGACAGCTCTACATTTGAATGCTCATTCGCGCTCGCCTTGCTCATTCGACCCGAATGCTCAGATGTATACGCGCCTTAATGTGGTTCCTAAGTGTTCGTCTGGGTATTCCGCATTTTTGTTCCACCCAGCGCAGTGATTTTCCCTCGTTAATATAATTTAATGCCTCTCTCATCATCTCTTCATCCCAATTTGCCCTTATCCCTCTGCTTTTTTTACCCATCTTCTGTAAAAGAATAAATAAATCTAATGAAATACGTGTATTCATGGCGGCATAAAATAAAGCCCAAGCCTTTTTCAATGCATTGTAGAAAATAAGGCCCGGGCCTTATAACCTGTAGCACAATAAAATTAATTTTGAGGTTATTAAACAACAAACAAACCCAACATAAAAAGAAACGCTACGTAAAATGAAACTATCAGATACATTATATTATCATGCATACATAATGAAAAATCTACGTATTATTAAAACAATTTAATTTGCTTACTTACCGGTCGAAATTCTTATAAAATACAGCACAGCGAAACGTGACACCATAGAACAAGCCAGGAAGCTCATAACCATAGAACAAAATTACATTTCCGGCAACAGTAATACTAAATATTATTAACAGATGGCGATATAAATATTTTAGGCGCTTTACTTTGGGCAAACCAGCGTTGGTCCTTAATATCTGGTGGGCCTTATTACCCCCGGGTACCTTACATTTGGTTCTATGCATTTGCATATTCTTAGAGACAGAGCAGTTAATAAATGCTTTTTTACACATATCTATTAAATGATCTGATATATTTATAGAGCTATGTTGGGCAATAAAAAGAGCTAATCTCCCTTCAGCAGACTTGGTATCTTCTTGGTCAGTAACAGCAGTATTTGGAATTTTTTGCTGAACTTTTCCTTGGAATGATCTCCCTAAAAAAACGCTTGCGTTTTCCTTATGCTTTTTGGATTCACCATGACTCTTAAGGTCGGCGTAACGACTCGTAATTATTTTACTACAAAATTTGCATTTAGCTTCCCTTCCTAAAGTGCTGTCAATAACCAACAGCCATTCTTTGAAACTAGGGTCTTTTAACCATGCGTCTCGAAACTTTTGAGTATATTGCGGTTTAGGCATGGTTCTGTAATCTGTAATACATAATAATTCAAAGTAATCTACATCATATATGTATCAGTATCATGCTCACTTACCAAAATCAAATAATTAGGCAGGCAGTCTTAAAATAGCAGAATAGTATGCTATAGCTACTAGAAAGCACACAAATTATACTGTAAATAATGTTCAAAAATCACCTAAATCATCGTATACGAGATAAACTTCACTTGTCTGTGCAAGAAAAAACAATGTCTGTGATTCCCCGATTCCCGTGGATGATGCTCAGAACGCAGTGCTGCCACGCTTCTACCCACCAATGTCGGTAGATCTCAAAAAATAAATCGGTAGGTTTCGGTTTAAAATCGGTAGATAGCCGGTTGCGCCATAGGCTTCCCCTAGAACGCTTTTAACAGATAAAAAATGAGGTTAAGCAATAAGCAAGCTTTTTCTACGAATTTTTTTTTATATATCTAATCAGCAGTTTTTCTTCAATTTTTTTTTAGGTATTTGAGCAATGGAAAACAAATACTTTATGAAGCAATGAAAAACAAATACTTTATGAATAAATATATTTTATTCATTACTGATCAGTTTCGGGTATCAGAAGTACACAAAGAATCTAAATATACATTGTTAACGTAATAAAACAAGAACAACAGAACAATATAAATCGATAATTATTAAGTTGTTTAGTCATTTTCACTCTCTTCAATACCTTTTAGTGTTTTATTATCCATTTTTAAAATAAGTTCTTTGCTTATTTTAAAATTGAAACACTTATTATTACCTAAGTACTGTTTAGTATGTACTAATCCCGTAATTGTCTTTGTATTTAAAGAATTTCTTTGTTTCGTTTCCATTAGGTTAATTTCTGAGAACCTTCTTTCAACATTGGCGGAAGAATGGGGTAAACACAATATATTAAAAGCGAATTGGCTTAAAATTGGAAACAAAGGCGTATCGTCACCTAAGCGATATTCACTTACTTCCTGCCAAAATGTCTCGACTTGATTAGATAATTTTACAATATCGGTATTACGCAAAAGACGCCATTCGTTATCAAGTGATTGAAGCGCTTCTTCCTTAATTAAGTTTGGAAAAATCCTGGCCACATCTGAAATAGAAGGTATAACTCCTGTTTTGACATTTACGGGATCGAGAAAACTAAACAATTTAATTGGATTATTTTTAAGCGGGAAACGAGTAAGGATTTGATCACAACTTTCAATATAAAACTCTAAACATCTAAGCCTAAAAAAATGTATTTGCTCGCTGGATATTGTAATTTCTGATAATGTTTTTGCCACATTAGCTCCAAAATAAACATTTTCTATTGGTAAGTAATTTCTGGGATTTTTGTAGTCAATATTCTCTAGAGATGTTGATGTTAAATAATCGCGGTTTAAATAACAATCAAACATGGTTTTTAAAACAGTGGATATGTTTTTATATATAACATGTATTCTTGGGCTCTCTGCTTGCATATCCTTATTTAAATTATTGAAAAAAGGCAAAGCAAAATCTAAAAATCATCATTTTGGAAAACAGCGTCAGTAAAGTATAATTTTAATGGTTTGTATTGTTCTAAAATTCGACTTACTACACTTTGAACAGAAAGCCATCTAGTCTGTGATGGGTGCAGAATTTTATGTG